TCTCTCTCTCTCTCTCTCTCTCTCTCTCTCTCTCTCTGCGGCGCTCGCTGTGTAGGAGGATGCTGACCCTTCCACGGTGGCCCCGGGGGTCCTCCTCGCCGCAACGTTGTCACAGCACGAAGCCACCTTCTGCACCACAACGCCGGAGGTGTTGGCGTCACTAGGACTAGGAGTAAGCGGGTGAGTAAGAACATCGACATGGACACGGTCGTATTGAGTTTTTGGTTACGCGTTAGGCTATTCAGGATACAGGATGGTTTCTACCTCCTTACGCCCCACCTAGATTCGACGGCGTCGTTCGTGGGAAGCTTGCTTTCTCTTCACTGTGTTCACGAACGTTCTCACGAACGTTGTCGTGGGCTTCTTCGCTTTCTTGAGCCTCCAAGAGACACGTCGCCAACCATGGCTTGATCTTCCACTTCTACCACTATCATTTGCGAGGGGTTCTGCCTAAGTCTCGCCAGGTGACGTCATATGCGTGCCCCATGTCTCTCCAATACCCCTAGCCCTGAACCTTGCCATCCCCCCCCAAGCCACCCATGCGTTACCTCCTACGAACTCCATCGTGTGGTCCACGGCAACGCAACCTTGGTGCCAGGGTGTCACCGGCGCTGGTCAAGGTAGTGGCCGGACAGGGGGGACGACTTCTGCAGCCGGCCGTGTACAAGACGGAGAGGGGAACCGAAGGTGCCAACGACGACAGCGCTACTGTCAGCGTCGCCGCTGCCTCTTCGTGGTCCGTGTTGAGCTGGGTGGAGAGGGAGAGGTTTGGGTTGGTATCGGACCTTTCGCCGGACAATTTTATGAGGTATGTTGATGTACGTCGTGCTGCAGTCAGCATCGTTTCAAGTGTCAGAACGAACCCATCAGCCAATTGCGAGCTTTGTTTGAGTTCTTAAGATCTGCATGTTGCGTCGCGTCCGGAAGGATGGAAGTAGGCGTTATCTGCGACCACGCGCCTGATGGATCTGGGTAGGGTATTTTGAATTCCGTAGAATGGGTCGAGAGAGCGTTGTTCTTGTTGGCTTCTATGGAGTTTTGCTCTACTACGCTCTAGGGAAGCTAGCGCCCACTTATGTGGCGCGCGTACGTGTCTTATCTATCTTGTGTGCCTGCAATAGTGACAAGATAATTTGCTGTCTTCCACACAGGCTGTTTGTCGTACCCCGCCTGCCCCCCGCCCCACCCTTGGATATCGAAACGCCTTGCAGTTTCGTAAGCAGCGCCCACACGAGTGACGAGATGGAAGCGATGCATCAAATCAAAGGCTTTACGACACTCGGGTTAGCACCTTGTGATAGTGTATTTGAATAGGTACATTGTCCTTGTACATTGTCCACCATATATATTTGTCCTAGAAGTAGCAACACAAAGCTTCTGGAAGGGTCTAGGTCGACTTGAACAACCATCCTTCATACCCTGTTGCGCACAGGTAGGCTGTTTGGCAGCTGTCGCGATGCGCCAAACCGGGCATTTGCTAAACATGCCACCCGGATCGTTCCACACTATCAACCATCGCCATCGTACCTTTCCCCCCCCTACCCTATTCCCGAATCAAATAATCCATCCACGCAAACTGACTGCGGCAGGCTGGGCTCCTTGGGAAGGTTGATGGTGCTTGGAGTTGTTGACCCCAAGCACGAGGCGACAAGATCCTTCCACAAGGTGGGGGGGGCGAGCCAAATGCAAACTGCCGCCACATACGATTGCCTGCAATATGGCACTGCATGGCACGCTTAACCATTCTATGGCATTCTTACCGAGATGGCGAGTGTGCAATTCCCGTCGTTCATGCCATGCGCAAGGCAGGCTACCCTTCCACGGAAGCGAAACAAGTACAGGTGACGGTGGTGCTTTGCCCGTTCCGGCTCTGTGCCTGTGGCGTGCGATGTTGGTACTAGTATGTGGTTTGCCGGTCTCGCTGCCACTTGTACCAGGATATGCATACAACACGTCCGTGAGACACCGGCAAGATTGCGATTCTGAGCGCATTTTCGCCCGATCACAGACAACCCTTCTTTCCCACCTTCCACCCCATTTCCCACAGAGGAAGCTGCTCCTGTTTTAAAGTCGGACGGTTGCCTTTAGATCCAGATGTCTGGCAGCTATGATTTGATTTGGGCCTCATGAGGGTTGTTGTAGGCCTAACCCTCATCTTCGCAGCTACTGTACACAGAGAGGGAGGGCATCGTTCAATCTGCCTTCCGCCACATAGATGTTGTGCAAAACCTCGTCTTGCCAGCTTCATCGAGGGAGAGCATAGTTGAATCTTGCCTCCGCCATCACGAATTGTGTTGTCGAGACTTCATCTTCGACCCACGAGGAGGGTGTGTCATTGAATCAAGCTTCCGCCATGTTGAATGGATCACACAAACCACCGCTCGTTCAGGTTTTTGTGGATGTCGCCTCGGACATGGGTGTGACGCACTCCGAGAGGCTCGTGTTCGGGACGGTAAACCGCGTCAAGATGCCGGGTTTCATGGAGACTTTCAACGTGTACGAGGGGCATCCGCGGGTCATAGTCATGGTGAGAGTGTGACCGGTGTCACTTGTGATGGTTTGCATGCCTCTCAAGTTCTACCATGACGCTGGATATGGATGGTTTCCCGACTCGTGTCCCTCCTCGCAAATGATCATCATGCATGTATGTATGATGATGCGCGTGTATGTTTGTTCCTCGCTGATTCGCGTTTGGTGCCTGCGTTGACAAAGCTCGTAAAAAGACAAGACCCCGCCACTAGTTACTACGCAAACACGGTCAACAACAACGTTGCAGGTTTTTTGCGTTTTTCATAGAGTATCTCAATCACTCGGGCCACCCTCCGTTGGTGTTTCCAGGACATTGCGTCGGACGAGTTCTACACCTTGGAAAACATGCATATTGAAGTTGGGGAAATGAAGGCATTCCTAATCGCCGTCCTAGCAGGTGGGTGGGCTGGCCTACAAGTTGTCATGTGCGGCCTGTAGCCTGTAACTTTTGTGGAATGCGTAATCGCGAGTATCGGCTGTCGCAGGTTTAGTGTTTTTCGTTGGCACGACGAGCCGCCGTGCTCGCTGTGGTCTTTCGATTGCTGTTGCGTCTGTTTTTCAAGCATCGAGCATGGCATGTACACGAGCAGTGGTGTGCACATTTCGAGCAAGTTGTTAATTGCCGGCTTCCTTGGTCCGGAAGTTCTAGCAACCTATCTGTGGAAAGGATGTCACAGCAGATTTAGACCTGTTCTACAAGGAGCGCTCTTGTCGTATGTGTGAGGTGCATCTGTGAACGTTGGTATTGTAACCAGTAAATAGAAAGGCGTTTGGTCGTGACGTGACCTCGCCGCCTCAACGCTTTTGAACCGTTTCAGCAAGGTTTTTCCCGATTCGATCGCGTTTCGATCGATGTGTGCACCCTCTCAAACTTTTGAGTGAAAGTACCCGGTGGAGCAGCAGTCAGAGAAGAGACCCTCCTCGCTGGTGTTGAGATAGAGTACCTGTTGCCGTACCAGGCGTCGAGATACCGCAGCTAAATAGCTCTTCGGTGCACAACAAAACGACAAACTCAATGGTTAAGCACATTACAGCAGTGTTCCTTGCCAAGTTAGCAGGGCCTCTATGCTACGGCTTGCGTAGTTGTATCTGCCCCCGCTGTTTTTTTGGTTGGGATCGTACATCCCCTCCTCCGTTGGGGGCACAAAGTGGGAGCGGGCGTTTTTTTTTTTGTTGACTCTGACCCAACCCTAACGCCTACCCCAATCCCTGTGTCAGGGTTCATTCCGGCCCGTGCGCCGTCTACCAATTCCACGCGGTACGCGATGAAGATCTGGTGGCTAGTTAAGAAGGGGGGTGCGTGGAGCCTCCTTCTCCTAATCCCGGCGGTGGCACTAATGTGGGTGTTCTGCGACACACCCCAAAGGGAGGAGGCACGGGCAGCTTTGCGGGAAGCCAGGAAGTCTGAGAGGGATGAGACTGTTCGACGCAAGAACCAGTGAATCGGCGGCAGACGCACACGCCTGCCTACGAGTGGTCTTGCGCACATGCCTCCTTCCTTGGTGCGGAGAACAGCAAACATCTGTAGGATGCTAAGAGGTAGATGCGGCAGCGTCGGCGGCACTTTTGAGCGATTTCGTAAATGTAGTGTACAGAGTAAGTAGAAGACCGACGTTTAGTGTAGCGTATGATCCGTCCACGGTGTTCGGGATTTCGATGGCAAATGTGTGCCGCCAATAACACATTTTTGAGGCAAGGACCCTCCTGCTGATTGTTGTACATTGCACTGCCCGTGGACAGAGGTCTCCTCGGCATTTGTCTATGAATGTTATTACAGGTGTAGACTAAGTGTGGTGAACTCTCGTGTTTTGTATCCCTTACCTGGCCCTCATGCTTCGTGCGATCATTGATCTGCGTGTGAGCTTGTCCACTTGTTCGGTGTTATAGCAAAGAAGACCGAGGCGGTGTGTTTGTGTTGGTAAATATAGATCTACCCTGCCCTCATCTAGAGCATGTTTTGTGCGGGGTTGATTGTTAGAGTGTGCGCGTGAGGTGCCACCACTTGTCGGATTTCAATGGCGTTTTGGCGTTTTCCAACAACACTCTATACGACATGATTGATGTTTGAACGCTCGACCCTTGGGCAAGAGAGCATTATATACTTATACTTTCTTTTTGTCATCGATTGTTGCCTGTGGGACTCGTTGTCTCTGCTCCGCAGCAGTGTTGACTGCCAGGTAGTGCTGTGTACAGCAGTATTGGATCTCGTTCCGGTGGGAGTCATGTCTGGTCGGCATTAAAAATATGCACTACATGACTTGACCATATACTGTACTCCTAGAACTATAGTCTTACGCTGTCTGTTGTCACGGCGATTGCGATGTATGCGCTGTTCTTGGTTGTTCATGCTAAGATATGACCCTCCCTGCAGCTCACAGCATGCACGCTGCCAGCAGTGTTCATGCCGACATTCAATGAAGGCAGGCATACACCATAGAAAGCTAGCCGGCGTACATCTTCGGTGAACCGTACGGTCCACGCAGATAGGTTACAATGTAGATGATCCCTGGACAATGTGAGTCTTCTTGTTTGCATAGGCAGACGACGTGTGGTATCCATGCGAAATATAAATATCGACCGCCGGGCCGAAGAACAACGCCTATGATCTTCCTACGATGATCCTACATGTACACTAACCTACGGTAGGTGGTCCATCAGTCATAGACTATGGCAATCCTATGCGTGCCCTTTTCGTAGTTAGAAGATAAAGATTCCGAGACAGGTGAGAACCCCTGTCCGCTATTGTTGTGCACAGGGGTTCTCGCTTTGAGTCGTTGTCCCTCTGTGCAAATCGCCCCAAGCCGCCCCTCTGGAAAATGCATCGTATGCGTAGGCACACACCATCCATCGAGGTGCATGTTTGAACAGCCGCCGGGTAGGCGTTGTGCGTGCTTTTCTCATCGTGCATACTTGGCTCACATCTCACATTTTAGCCACAGGCACAGCTGAGCGCTATCTCTCGAAGGATCTACTATGAGACATTTGTTTCACATGACGAATCCATGATCCACATGAACATGAACATGAACCTGCTGATGCTGCTCTTCCCTCTGTCACATGGCCACCCCTACCCCTGAAATTTCTTCATACCATCTGCGATCCCCTGACGGTCTGACAGAGAGCTGCTGCCCTTCACATCAGCCTCTCGCTTTTCCCTGAATGAAGACCACCACCACCACGGGTGGGGCTCATTTATAAGTACCCTCCACGACATACAATCCGTTGATCCATCACAGGATTTAAAGCATAGAGAGGCCGCAGCCACAGGGGCAGCAGGAAAAGAAAAGGGAGAGGAGAGGTCGACGAAGAAAAGCGAACTTCGAGTAGTTCGAGCCCAACAGCATCAGGTACGCGAGAGAGAGAGAAGTTCTGTTGGTGCCTTGAGCTCAGGCCTACCTCCCGCTCATCAAGGGAAGGGGCACAGAAGCAGTATGTAGAGCATGCCTCCTGTCGATGGGAGAATGCGTGATGGTGGAGCGCCCACGTCACAGCATTGACCGTCCCCGAGTCCAGGAGCCATTGTCTGTTGTATGTCTTCAAAAAACCCAGGAAGAGGCAGAGCTTATACAATCAATAGCAAGCAATCAGCTAGGGCGAGGGCCTTTTTCTGGTTCCTGTTTCGCTTTGCACCCACCCACCCACACCACCGCTCTCTTCTTGGTCAAGGGCGTGTAGGAATCCCAACCTCCTAGCTCTATCATGCACACATGCACGGGGTACTAGAGCTCTAGAGCCTGCCTGCACAACTTCTTTCCGGCGCGCGCCCACACACAAAAAACATTCCTTCGCTCATTTTTTTTTTTGCGCAAGAGGCCTGTAAGCGGGTCACTCGGTCGACGCAGCACCAGTTCTTCTTCGTTCTTCTGTTCGTGTTATCAGATCAAATGAAGCCTCAAGCGGTAACACGGAGTAATAATTTTCGGACGGAAACAGGGGTTGCGTTTTTGCTCCGCCACTGAGCTTGGTGTCCCGCTGGAACATCCTTCTACCTAGTAGAGAGACATTGGCACCCGGCTTTTTCTTGTCCGATGCGATTTTACCCGGTATTTGTGCCACATGATCATTCTCGGGTACATACCAGGTATGTAGCGTAGATTTTTTCTACCACCGTACCACTTTTGTCTTTCTCAGTGTTTTGGGGCAAGCGGGGAAGCGGCGGACCGCTTGGGACCGCGAGCCTGTTTTGTGCCATTCGCCAGATACTACTTCGAAGTACTAGAAGTTGTTTGGGTGTTTTGTCTGTTGTTCAGGTAGTTTATGCCTGCCGCCTCAATCGATGTGCTAGCGCTGATTGGCGCTCTCTGCCGAAGGGGACCCGAAGCACTATTCAGTCAATGGAGGGATTGGCCAGTATGTAGCCTTCACCTGGTTGACAATATTTGGGGTTGTTCAAGAGGATGGAGTACATCCCCCAGTTATGGTTCCGTTCCATGTAGATCTAGTAGGGTCGAAATCGGTCATCACAGGCTCGACCCGCGGTATGTACAAATGGGTTTTTATTGTCTTAGAGACCGGCCCCTTCATGATGGGCTGACCCCACTACTAGATGGGGACGTGAAATACCTTTTTTGTGAAAAAAGTACCTGCAGTAGGCTCGGGCGTTGTTAGCATTGGCTCGTTTATACAAAATTACCATGATACAGCAGCAGTAATGAGTTAAGCGGCGCCAGTCAGTGTGATTTACAGATAGGGGGCGTGGTGTTCATCGTCATCAGCTAGAGGGGGGGGTGGTGTCCATCATAAGCTTGCTGTTGGTTGCTTTTAGGCAACTCAACACCACGCGATGGATGACCAGACCAGACTAGACCAGACCAGACCAGACTAACCACCAGCAGGGTGGGCACAGGACCCTCGCACGCAAGCATGAGAGGTGTACGGCAGTATGTACATGCCTCGTCAATGAATTGCGGTGTCTACAGCAGTAGGAGCGCGTTGTGGGCGATTATGTGCCTCTCTTTCGAACCAAGCAAGATCGCTGCCGAAAAAAGAAGCAAGCACGGTTGAATCGCGACCCAACTTATACGGTTCTTCTCTCCTCTCGCTTCCTCCACCGCTAGCGAACCGCAGTTTGGTAGAGGCCACACACACCCTCTCGCACATTAATGTAGGCCGAACAGCAACAGTATATGCATCGTCGATGGCAGTGTCTATTATATTAATAGGAAACGAGCGTGTGGTGTTGTGATATACCCCTCTCTCCAAGTCCACTGCCGCTTGCTGCAGCATAGGACCAACAAGCGGTGCCGAGACCCAACTAAACCAAACGTGTATCTCTCCCTTCGCTTTCTCCGCCGATAGCTAGCAGCAATAGTACGGGGTACACCCTGCTCCCGTCTCGCTCGCGCTGTGGTGCGCTGTCTCCCTCCCCCATTGTCCATGTCTGGCTCCGGGTGATGATGTCTGTTGCGTAAGCCTACTTTTTTCACGTCTGGTTCCAAACAAGCCTCCTCCTCCACCTCGGGGACGCATCAATCCGATATGTATGTCGCCTGAGATGCCGTGCTATCTCGACGCACCGACCACGGATTGAAAGGTAGCAGTTGGGAAAGCTCGGGCAAAATGCTAGTTGTTGTGCACAAGTCTTGGATTGCAATGTGGTGCCCACATGGTGCAATGTGCTCCGACCTCCTGAGTAATTATCGCGTCACAGACAGAGTGACGGACGCTGGACACACTCGCGAAAAAGTGCCTCACCCGTGCGAGACATCGTGTTTTTTCACGTACGTACATGTAGATCACGATCCCTCTGATCAGCTTGTTTCGTGCTAAAGGCCCCCTATCGGCGCGCCCCAAAAAAGTATTTGAAGGGGCTAGTCAGCCCGGGACTGCACCTGTGTGTGGCTCCCTCGGCTCCTTCACACACGCACAAACGCACACACACCACAAGATAGACGGTTATCGCGGTCGATGCTTATAATAGTTTTAAGAAAAACAATTAATGGACCACATTGCGGCACCAGCCACACGGACCCGGCAGCAGCAGCATACACACTATGCCATGCGCGGCTGGAGAAATGTGTCGTTCTCAGGAGACGAACGATTGAGCTTTTGATAGGTTTGTGGGATGTGGTATGAGTGTCGCCGAGGTTGTGGCTGGCGGCTTGACGAATGATGAATGCTGTGGTAAACACTGTGCTTTCAGTAGGCCTAACCCTTTCGGCGATGGGCTAGAACTACCCGATAACCACGACGGCGACGATTGCACTGGGCGGGGGGATGGTACGCTGCACCTTTTTTCTTTTGTGGCCCGCTGGCGCACTGCGCGGAGTCGTCTGGCAATCACAGCAGTCCCAATGTAGAAATAGGGGGATTTTTGCGCAAGGCCATAGTGATGTTGTTCCTTTCATCATACGTTTCGAGACCACCACGGCAAGCAGACGTCAGGGACATCTCTTAAATGTAGGCATTGCGTATGTTCGTACGGGCCTGACTCTGGCACGGTAGCAGTAAGATGAGTGTGCGGCAGGCGAAGGTTGGTCTTTATTGTTGCACGGCATACATGAGAGTTGTAGCCCGTGTTGAAGGAAACGTCTCATTGCCGGGGAGGTCGTCGAGGCTCTGCTGCAACATGTTGGTTTCGCGCTTTGCTTTCGATTGTTGTCTCGATTCTTTGTGCGTTCGAGTGCATGTGCGCATGTTTGCCTCGTATCAATGACTAAAAACGGCATCAATGCCTAAAGCGGCATTTTTTCTCTGCAGCAAGGTGTCATCACTCCTTAGCTGTTGAATCGACTGTTGCATCCTCGACTGTTGCATCCTCGACTGTTGCATCCTCGACTGTTGCATCCTCGACTGTTGAATCGTGCTCGACACCGACACGCAACCCTCACACGCATATGCATACATGTGTGTGGCATGCTGACTCGGGCTGACGATGCAGTGTTGTTTCCCGTTGCTCCCGATGTTGCCTTGATAGGAGGGCACCCCACTGTAGAGGACCCCGATATATAAGGGTAACCCTCTTATTTCGATGTAACAGTGGGTTCGATATACGAGGGTCGAGGGCCGTTGTCGCACGGCCCTCTTTGCTCATCATGTGTCGACTCTCTTCAACCCGCTCCCTCAGAGTGTATTGGCTTGGTCTCTCATACAACCGTCCTTGTTAAGAACGGTAGGTCAGGTCCACATCTCGACAGCTACTAGTTACCGCTGTATGACTCTTTCCCACCCCCGCCTCCACCCGCCTTGTCTTCATCAGATGAAATCGCTTAGAGCCCAACTGAGTGACGGTAGATTGATTACGTCATGCATTTTGTTCAATGCGAAATGTGTCAATCCCGGTTTTTTCGTTCTTTTTCTGGAGTTGGGAGCAGCAGCAAGCAGTGTGGTCTTTCATCTCCATGGGTTGCATGTGCATCAAAATATTGAAGCTAGCACCCCCTCCCCCCCCCCTTCATTTAACAACCAACTTCCGACACCCCTTTCGTGCTCCATTGTAACGGCTTCGACGTCACTGCACAACCTCAATATTGTACAGGTATCTAGGCGATAGACAAACAACACGAACGGCATCGCACAATCGCACAAACGTCCAGTCCATCAAGTTTCTTCCCCTGAGAGGAGGGAAGGGAGATAGAGGGCGAAGAGGCCCTCGGCATATGGCGTTGCTTGATCTGGCATATCCTGCGCACGTCGAGCAGCGCGCGACGTACGCCTCCGGATTTCCGGGAGGCACGCCCAGCAGCAGCAGCAGCAGCAGCAGCAGCAGCAACAGCAGCAGCAACAGCAGCGGCGGCAGTGGTCCTCCTACGGTCGCAGTGGCATCATCAGCGAGGGACTCTCTCGCCAGCAGGCAGGGCCAAGACGACATGCAAGCACCATCAGCATCTTTGTCGGCGAGCGCGAGCAGCGGGTCGCTAGCACCCCCCCCGGGACTGCCGCGCAGCAGCTCCACGGCCGAGCTGGTCGCGCTCGGCTTCGACCCGTCCGGGGGAATGGAAGGCGGCAACGATCTCAACAGTAGTGACGGCGGGGGCGGGGGGGCAGGGTACGACCCCCGGCCACCAGCCATGAGCGGGAGCGGCGGCGGCGGCGGCGGCGTGGGAGGCGGCCATGACGCTGGAGACATTGGTGGAAAAAATGACGGCACCGGCGGTACTGGGACGGGATCGGCGGGAGGCATGGGGCTTGGGCTGAGGAACCACTCGCTCACCAACCTGGCCAACATGGTGCGATCGCAGTCGGTGTCCTCCTTCCACTCAGAAATCTTCGCCTCGGGCGGCAAGCCGGTTGGGTCGGCCGCCGTCGAGTCCCCGGCGTGGGGGTCATACCCTGCTAACCTCGACAAAATGGGTAGCGGGGGCGGCGGCGGCGGCGGCGGCGGCGGGGAGGACATATTCACGCTCTCCCCGTCCCCGTCCGTGGGCCCACGAGGCGCAGGCCGTGGCGCGCTGCCGATGCGCCCTCCTACGGGCGGCGGGGATAGTGATGTTGTCGGCGGGACCGGTGCCGGTGCCGGTGCCGACCTGTCCCCCCAGCAGTTCGCGGGAAGGGGCACCGCGGCTAGGAGAGAGGTGGTGGACCGAGGGATGTCGGCGGCGGCGGCGGCGGCGGCGGCGGCGGCCGGCTCCACGAGGACGTCCCAGCGGCGACCAATGGGAGGAGGGAGTTCCTTTGATCCAAGGGGCATCGTTCCTTCCGGTCCTGGCAGGAGCGGAGCTCTTCCGGGCGGACGGGCCATGGTGCACAACCGGTCGGACACCGACCTCGTGGCTTCCTTCTCGCGGTTTGGGTTCGGCCAGGGCGGGGTGTCCCGCTGGAGTCCTCTCATGTCTCCCACCGCTAGCCCGCTCGTGGGCGCGCCGCTGCTGGAGGAAGACCCCCTGGACCTTGAACTCGAGGAGAACGCATCCCGCGGTGCTGGTGCTAGTGGTGGTGCTGGAGGCGCCGCGGCAGACACGTTCGGCCCACCGTCCTCTTTCCTGACGTCTCATGGAAGGAGGGGTCTGATGGACGGCCAAGGTGCTGCCGGTGAAGCGCCTAGTATGGAGGTGAGGTTGCCACGCCATGCCTCCTATCCGTCTCTCACGGTGTCGCGCGGTGGAGGTAGCGGCGGTGTCGGTGTCGGTGGCGGCAGCGGCAGCGGTGGATATGGCATGGAAGACTTGGTGCACGGAGCCTTAGAGCACCTCACGGCCGGGGACAGCGCTACGGGGGGCGCAGGTGCACAGACTATTATTTTCGTTTTCGTTTTTCCTTGCCGATCAGACGGTTAAGACAAGACAAGGCGTGCCGTGCGAAGCCGATCTGATGAAGCACGCGTACTCTCTGTACCTTTTCGTTCATGTGTGAACTGTACACGGCTGTACGACAACAAGATCGGTTCACTCCACAGGCTGATGTAGCACAGGTTGTTGAATGGTCCAAAAGATACCCCTGTGTGATCCCGAAACCACCAGACGCTCTTGGATGAAGCTTGTCCGTGAGCAACAAAAGGTAAAAACGTAGACCGACCGTCTTAGTCTAGTTAATGTAACATCGACCGTTCTCCATCGTATGCTGATCCGGCCATGCCACTCTTGGGATGCCACGTCAACGTCAACGTCAACCAACGCCTGGAGTGGAGTAGGTGATGGAAGCGGCAGTGGCGGGGGAGGAAACGGAAGCGGGCTGGCGTCGGGAGGCATGAGCAGCGGCAGCCTTAGCGGGAGCGCGAGCGGCAGGATTAACGGCAGCAGACTATCCGGAGCGGCCACCAGCCAGACCCAGACCTCCTCGGCCGTCAACGGTGCGGGCGGCGGCGACTCGACCACTATGGTGGCGCCCGGTGCGCTGGGCGGCGGGGCGGGCTACACGTCTAGCCCCGGCCACAGCCCGGCCTCGGGCTCCCAAGGGCCGCCGCAGGGGTTGGGCCGCCAGAACCCGCGACAGCAGCAGCAGCAGCAGCACCAGCAGCAGCAGCAGCAGCAGTGGTCTCACCACCCGCAGCACCAGCAGTCTTACGACCACGGGCGCGGTGGGGTGGACGGGGTGATGATGCGGGATGGAAGATTCGTCCCTTCGGGAGACGGGAGCGGTGGCCACCCGGGGATGATGTACGGAGATGTTGGGGGGTACGGGGGCGGTGGAATGGGCGGGGGCGGCTACGACGGCATGGGCGGGGGGGGGGCGCCTGGCGGGATGATGGATGTACCATGGGGGGGGCAGGACCCCGTTGCAGTCTATCAGGTTAGGTTAGCTTCGGTCTGTTTTGTCGCGGTAGGATCGGGGATGGGCATGTGGTGTAACGCCTTTAAGTGTCGGTGGTGTTGCCTATTTTTCCACCTGTGTGGGTCTGACGTGTTTTTCGCAATGAATATGATTATGTCGTGCCCGGTGGTGTTGTGTCTGCCTGGCCGTGTTTTCGTGCCCACGTTGAGTGACGTACTTCCGCATCGGGGGAACAAAATGGTGTACGATTGACTGACTGTCTGGCTGACCCAAATTGCACAAGGGGGGTGACGCTGACGGTGCGCTGCGAAGTCTGGTGCCGCGTCAGATGCCGCGTCAGATGAATCTCGTCCGTGGAATATATCGGCTTCACACGTGACTCACTGACTGCTGTATCGTGTTATTTGACTCTGCCTGACGTACGGTTTTGCTATCGTGGGCGTTTTGCTGGTGCTTGTCATGTGTCACAGCAGAAGACGAACGAGGGTATGGTATGAGTATCCCGCACTCCGATCCGCGTGGTGTGCGGTTTTCAGGAAATTCCTCTCCTCATTTACGCTGACTCCAACTCCAACCCCGTCGGCGTCCTCTCCTCTTGCCGGTTCGCGCGGTCCAATTGGGACCATTTTTGCCGAACTGTACTGTCGTTGCCTATCGTCTATCGTCGCAGGCTCTTTTGATGAAGCAGAGCCTGGCCGCCGCGCATGCGTCGGGTATGCGCTTCCCGCCCAATATGCACATGGCGGCGGGGAATGGCATGGGGATGAACATGGTTGACGTGGCTGCCCTCGCAGCGGCGGCCCAGGCGGCCTCTGCTACTCCCGGAGGGCGTGGCGGATACAGCGGCGGGGGCGGCGG